AGGAACTACTTCCCAAATTCATTAACTGTTTTATTGCTTCTATAGAGTCTCCAGACTACATACTAAGACAAAAGCTTTTCATCGTGATTAAAATATGTATTTGACAATTGTACCATGTTTTGTTTTTCAATGAGGATCAGGGTACATTAAGCTCTCACTGGTGTATAATTTCAAAGAAAACAGAAGTCCTTAGTATAACAAACAGCTAATTAGGCCTGGCAAGTCAGAGACTTTTGTTGCTGTGTTTCTTGGCTGTGGTTTTCTGTCTTTTCCTTCCATGCATCCAGCTGAAGTGACATTCCTTCTCTTAGGGACACAGGCTGTACCTTCTCTGTCCATGGTACTGACGTGGTCCTAACAGCCATGGGATGCTGCCGTCAAGGCAGGAAACTCATTTCCCCAAGTATGGCCTTAGATGATGGGTAGCATAATGGTGACATCATTCTTTATATTTGTTGTCCAAGGACACTTGGACTGCCTACTAATTTGATTTAAACTGAAATTAGAAAAGTACTACTACAATATTAGAGAGATAAGCAATTTAGAAAGTTTGTTATTTCTAAGTGAGCATACTTTTATTTAAGGCTCTTGGATACTAAAAGTGAATGTTCTCACAGAAGTCTTAGACATAAGGTATTTCAAATACATTCAAAGTGCCCCAACAACTAACTGTACATGGGAACTGTACACTACCCACAAAACCACAAAGCATTTGAGCATTTTCTATGGGAATTTCGTGATTTACCTTGACACCTTGAATAATCCAACTGGAGACAATGCTTCCTTTTTATCTCAGTAATGAGAGACTCTACTTACCTGAAACCTATATTATGTTCATTCAGCGATAAAGAACCAGTGAAATGGACGAGTCACCGGGTCTTCCTGGCAGCTTAAATACATAAGTGCATGGCAACCATAGTGAATAACATATCAAAACAAACATCTTGGAGTGCAGTAGGGTGAGCAGGGTGTGTGGGGTCAGTTGGTGAATGGGGGTTAATTTCTGCTCAGTCAGGTGAGGTGCAAATGCATCAACTTCGCTGGAAAATTGCTCCAATTGTGGCCGAATGGTCTAGTTTCCTGCAGGATCCAAGCAGCCTATTATTTCACGTTTTAAAAGGCTTGTTCAGGTCTAACCATTTGGATGGGAATCAATACAACAGAGGATAGGGACAAACGTCAGAAAGTATACACACCATCACTGAGGCCAGGTTTGTATGGCCATAATCCCTCCAGAAATTCAGGTGTTTGTGTGTGGGGCGGGGGAGGGGGAGGGAGAAGCTCCTTTTGGTTTTCTGACACCAGGACTCAGATGGCTCACTTCAGTCTTGCAGGCCTCAGTGAGGAATATCACCAAGAGGTCAGTTCAAGGCAGGAACTGGAGTGATGATTGGCCCTTTGAATATCCAACTTCCCTCTGATTTTCTCTTATTACTTTATTGTTTATTGCGGGTCAGTGAGTGGGTGATTGTGCATGTGTGGAGTTCAGAGAACAGCTTGCAGGAGTTGGTTCTCTCCTTCCACCCCATGGGTTCCAGGGATAAAACTCAGGTTGCCAGGCTTAGTGGCAGACACCCTTTCTCACTGAAACCATCTTGCCAACCTGGTACCTCACTATTTTAAAGTCGTGATTGAAATGAATCAATCATCCAAGAGAAGGCAACGTCATCCCTTGGTGAAGCTGGGCCAGCCAGGATAACTACCTGGGAAAGGTGAGTTGCTACCCATGTCTTGGCAAGCGGACTACCTGTAAAGGCTGGTCAAATTTGTCATAGTGTGCTAGTTCCTTGACTGGCTAGAAGGTGCTGTGCAGCTGTGAATGAATGAGGACAATCTTTTTTTCCATTGTGGCTTCTAAAATGAACTTCTAGGCCCTGTGTTTTACTTATAGCAAGTCATTTTTAGTTTAGGGACATTTATATAACATCACAGCACATACAAAAATGGGAATCTTTCTTTAGACACGCGTAAGAGTCCTAATGTATTGCTGGGTCTTCACTTGATCAGGTGAATGTCCCAATGACTTCAGTTCAAAGATAGATAGATATAGGTCAAGTTTTCTTGGAACAAAATGAAAAACACCGTGATGATTCTTCTAATATGTTCAGGTTGTTTCAAGGAGCCAAGCATTTAGGGACAACTTAAACTGTGTGATTATGTTGTGTCATGGTCTTGCCACATAATTGTCTCATTTTCCTCTTTACATGTCAGAATCCCCACCCACATTTTCAGTGCCATGATATCGCCAGAGGTGACATTCTCCCATTTGAGTTGATGAGTGGGTGCTAGATTGCCTAGCTTGGACAGTTTGGTGTGCTGTTGTGTCTTGGTCCTGTGAGGTTGTGTGGACTTGCATGCCAAAGCCTTTCTATACAAATCCACCCTCTTGCTCATCTAAAAATGACTTATGGTGCAATGAGGATCTTTGTCTGGTCCTACTAAGCACTCCCTTTGGGTCAAAGCCTTTGGAAGACAGTCTATAGAAGACAAGTCTTCTTTGGACAACTACAAAAAGCAAAATCCTGGCTATTTGCCTTAAAAAAATACACAAACACATATAATTATAGTTAGCAATGGGGAGGGAGAGAGACAGGCCTTTCCTAGCAATTCTGCATTGTAGACTCCCAGGGGCATCTTTCTGGGGAAGCCAGTCACCTATGAAAATTTAATCTAAATTTATTTGGAAAGGAGGAATCCAAACAAAGTAGCCCATGAAGTATCTGCTTGTGTTCTGAGACTTCTGAGATGTAAGAAGGGCCGCCTACACCACTAGAAGAGGCCGTAGAGTTTTGATAAATTCCAGGAAAAGTTGGGGAGCAGATAATAAGCTAGAGGGTGGTAATTTATTTAATTTTGGTGTATTATCTGAAACATATTTTAGATAAGGAATATACAAAACACACAGAAAAAAACTGACATTAAACACAATCTAGAGTTGTCAATGTATTTAAAAGCATTAAAGTCTGTACTTTCACCAATTTACCTATGATGATTGTATAAGTTAATTTAAGATTAATTTGAAGAACTGGACATCCTCACTTTCTTCTCTTGGAGAGGACTTTGCACTTTAGCCATCTCCATTATTTTTCCTTAAACAAATCAGCAGATATTATATTCTTGTAGGAAACACTTTGAACTGTCTTTACTTTGTGCCATAAAGCAAGTCCTTGCTTGGTCTAACACCCCGCCCCCCATGTCTTCCTGGGCTACATATCTCTTAAACCACCTGCCAATCATAACAGTTGTTAATTTGAGTCCTTTTTAGTCTCTTCTAGAGACGACAGGACCAGCTCTTTGGCCATGTGGTCAATCCCCCACCTAGGCTAGCAGGCTGCCACTGTGTCTGTCACAGAGGTCTGCATTGTTCTCTGGCCTCTGCTGTCTATGAACAATTCTTTCTTGCCTAATCCCCGGGGGCCTGCTTCTTCCAGAGTGGGGGCGGGGCAGGCTGCTTTGTGTGCAGCAAAACCTTCCTTGGATTTGTGCACACATGCAAACATACACAGAAAAGCCTGGTCTTCCTGGATGAGGGAGGGGTTGTGTTTACATGTGGATATACTCATATGCGCATGCTCGAACACACACACACACACACACACACACACACACACACACACACACACACACACTTTAATGTTAGCACTGACAACTAACCTGTTTGGTTTCATACCTACAGAACTGTTTTCATTTCTTTGTCAGCAGGTATCGTCAAACATATTTTTTTCATACAATATATTTTGATCATGTTTCCCCTCCCTCATCTCCTTACAGATCCTTTCTCCTTCTCCACCATCCAATTTTATGTTCCTTCTCTTCCAAAAACAAAACAACCAAAACTTCCATAAAAACACAAAAATGAAGGAAATCAAAACAAATAGGCAAAAGACAAATAAGACAAAAATATGCCTGTATAGAACAAAATGAAGCCAAGAGTCAACAAAAAAAAAAAAAATCCGGTGGAGTTCATTTTGCCTTAGTCGAACTACTTCTAGTCACCGGGCTTAGCCTGGCCCTGGAGTGACTGGGGAAACCTGAAAATTGCTAGTGGGTACCAATTGCAAATAGGTTCTTGGTTGGGGTGGGACCCCATGCTCCCCACCCACCCCAGTGCTGGGACCCCATCTGGCTTGAACCCTGACAGGTCTTGTGTGTGGTCAGCAGGTCTTTCCAATTAAAATAGTAATATCTTCCCGTTTTAATCACTCGAGTTTCCTTTGCTTTATTTGAAAAGTGTAATTCTTTTCATCCCAGGCACAATAGTGTCTAAGACTTCGTTCACTGTAAGTTGCCTGAAGCCTGGATGTCCCCTGCACAGGCCTCTCAGCAAGGGATTTTGGAGTGAGGGTGAGATGGAGGAGCGGCCTTCCTGTCCCACCGTGATTGGAATCGAGGGACTGATTATTCTTCTTAGTAACTCTGCTGCTGAGGAGCAGATACAATCCCCCTGGTTTCCACGTGGAACCCTTGCTTTGGCATACAGTAAGTAATTCACCACTATGGGTTTAGCCCGCACTGCTGTGTTTCAGGACAAGGGAAGGCAGGGATAAAAACAGGTCTTTGCAAACAGCCATTTCAACCAGGAGACAGTGGTCATCTGTAACCATTAAAACTTGCCATATGCTGTGAAAAGGGAGAGCCATATACTCGTGACTTTGGGGGCAGATTAACAAACAAAACTGATTTTCCAGTGAGGCAGGGAGGAAATTGTCCAATGAGCAGCTTTTAGAATATATTTTTGTGGATCATTAAGCAGGCCGTGTTGGTAAACTCCTCTTTAAAAGTGTGTCTCGTCTTTCCCTCAAAATGTCGAAGAGAACTGAGCAAAAATGAGACCCCATCTGCTGTTAATTCAGGTTGTTTTGCTGGCAACGTCTACAGGCACGTTGCTGAGCACGGCGAGAGCGCCCCCTAGGCGTGTCAGTGGGACACTGCTAGCATGTGGCTCTGCAGAAATAGAATCTGCGGGTTCCTCATGCTTCCAAATCCAAGTCAAAGCCCTGCAGCCGCTACAGCTGTTGACCTACGGTTAACGACTGGCAAGTGTTGGCTTTTGTTTAGGAAATTTTCATAGAGGCATCTCTGGGTACCTTTCTCTGTCGAGTTACCAAAAAAACCTCTATGGAGAATGGCCCTGAAATCCAAAATGGACCCTAAGCACACTGGTCCCCAGGTGGCCTGGCAGTGTTTGGACTAAGGCTTTAATGTATGGAGTTTTGTCCTGTCTCTTAGGCTCTGGGACTTGGTTTTGCCCTCGTTTATCTTGGAGCGAGAGTCACACTCATGATGTCTTGGTTAAGGTCAAGGGTGGAGGTGTCTTTAGACTTTGGGTCAAAGACTCCAGAGTGTACCTGGGATGGGGTACTAGACCTAGAGACTAAAGGCTTTAGTTTTCATCCTGGATCTGTTGCTCCAGAGCTGTGTGACTCTGGGTAAAATGCCCCACTTCTCTGAGCTTCAGACTGGTTTCTGTATGAAAGAAAGAAAATTTACCAGATATAGCCAATGATTATGTCCAGTTATAAAGCATGGCTAGAACCTTAATATTGAAAACTTCTATTTTAAAGATTTCAACTGGTCAATACAATATTTCCTATGATTCTTGAAGGATTCAAATGGGTCAAAAGATGATAAATGCTATTATTAATTAATTAACTAATTAACTAATTAATTAATTTTGGTGACCATGTCTATGAACTGCAACCAGCAAACTACAGACTTGATTTGTCCTAAGGCATATTCATATCCAACCTGAGCTCTTCCATAACTCGACAGTTATCCAAACTGAATGATGTCCCCTCCATTTTGATGGTCTCCTTCTGGCCTTCTTGACAGGTGGCCATGAAGACCTGGGTGGCAGCTCTCCTCTCTCAGCCAGTGAGTTGTCTGGTCACAGTGCAGGGTCACTGTGGACGGCTTCTCTAGGTTGGAAGTTGCCAGGCGGTGCTGATTGTCTGTAGGGAAGCCATGGGAAAGACCTGATTTTTTTTTGTGTGTGTATATGTGTGTGTGTGTGTATGTGTGTGTGTGTGTGTGTGTGTGTGTGTGTGTGTAAGATGCTGGATTTGAGCACTAGAGGAGTGGGCCCTGGGGCTGAACCAACAGCTCAGTCAGTAGAATATTTGCTGTATAAACATGAGGGACCAAGTTCAGAGCCACAGTACCCATGTAAAAAGCAGTGACACAGGTTTGTAATCCCATCATCTGCAAAATGGAGACAGTGGATCTGCAGTGGGTTTGCCAGCCTACTTGAATAGGTGAACTCCAGGTTCACTGAGAGACTCTGCCTCAAAAAATACAGTGGAGAGGAGAAGAAGAAGATGCCCAGTGTTGACCTCACCTCCACATGTGTGTACATGTACACACACACACACACACACACACACACACACATACACACATGAGTAGGTCTACATTCCTATTGTGAACAGGAGGAATGGCTTAGATGCAGCCAAGGATGTGTGTCACACATCTTGGACTTCAGTTGCTAGGTTAACAGCAGGAATCAGTGCCCAGCAGCGGGATCAGTCTGGCCTTGGTAAAAGATGCACAGCCATTCCGGTTGTCAAGGATGGTGATTGGCCTCTGTCTTAATAGCTGATCAAATATTCCTTGCTGCTGAACCTTGGCCCTACTCTCTTGGCCTCTAGGCCTTTGCCCAAATGTGTCCCATTTCCCTGAAAAGCTTATTTGAACTTGTTCAACTGGCGAGAGTTCAAACAAAGCTTCTATGCCAGCCAGGTGTTTCTCTGAAATGGCAATATTCTTGTTATGTAAGTGGTATTGCTAACTGGCATGCGCCAGTGTGCCTTCACAGCTGTTTACATATTAGAGTGGTATGTTTTCACTGCCTAATACTGTTCCAGTCCCTACGATCCCTGACTTGTGCTGCCTAAAAGAGACTCTCTGTTCCAGCAACTCATTGATTAAGACTTACACAGTAGGGGAGGGACTGCTGGGACTCAAAGGTATGGCTAGGCCCTGCTTACTGATTGATTCCTGGATTTATAAGATTTTAGTTACTTTAATAACACCTCAATTATAATTATTTGCTATCCTATTAGAATGCTGCTTCTAGCACCAAAAACATACAGTGCTTATGAGTATAGTGGCTGATGCAATGGGTTTTGTGTGTGTGTATGGGGGGCATATGTAAGCATGAAGGGGTCACATGCTATTCCATGCAGCATCCAAGCGGGCAGGGGTCCTGAGGAGCACAACCCTGATCTTTGCAGTGGGCTGATCTTGGGTAGTTGTTAACCTCTAAACATGATAGCTTTTGAGGTGAACAATCTGCATGCCCACCTTGTCCACAGGAGGTAGAGCCTACCTACTGCCCCCTTTCAATGCCTTCCATAGTCTTGAGCAGTGACATATTGGCAATGATGATTGTGGTCCAGGATTAGAAGCTCTGCCTTTGTCCCTTTGTGTGGAAAGAGTGAAGAAAGGGCACTAATAACAACAGCTAATTTTTTTCTCTTCACTGTAGAGAGGAGGGGCCTAAAGCCAGCTTTGAGATTTGATTTGGAAAAGTTTTCTAACAATGTATATATCATGTGCGTATAGTCTACACCTGGAACAGTGCCATGTGGCTCTGTGTTTTTAGGTTTTCTTTTTTATTAATAAATATTAAAGCAAGTTATTGTAAATTCTTTAAGTGAATATAGCCCCTACAGGTGTTACATGAATGTCAGATCCTAAATCTAGTATTTGATTATGAAATTTGATTTCAAAGCAGTCATTTCTTGTTCCTTTCTGAACAGTCATCTATTTAGGGAAAAGTGTTTGCAGTCAGAGAATCATAGGTGCAAAATAATTCTTTTCTGGAGCTCTGTGTGAGTCAAGTAGATCATCTTGATGATTCTTGCCTTCCATATTGCTTAGTTTGACTCCCAAATATGTGGGCATGGATATAATCATTTGGGGAAGTGTATGTGGCTTAGAGAATCATGTTTTTAGAATAATTTTGTAATTGATAATATCTGGAGATTAAAGTAATATTTTAGAACAATTAGAAAGTTGTTGAAATAACACCCTATAGAAGATCCTTACTAAGACCTTCTCAACAATGTGAAGAAGCTATCATGTAACAGTGCCTTCACTTCTTAGACAGGGAAACTCAGGTATATTAGTTGATTGTGGATAATGACTGGAGACAGTTGGAAGCCAGGACATGCTCAACTTTCTTAGTTTTCTTTTGGCATGCAGTTACTGTAATGATTAGGTTATCTGGAAACTAGGGATAATGTTAGGCTGGCAAAATGGAGTGATAAATTGGCACCAGTATCAAGTCCACGCAAGCCATTGGAACTTTTCATAGGCCTGGATCAGGAAGGTATGTAGCAGTGTGTGGATACTGGTTCTGAATTATTGGATATATGGGGTGAGCTGTGTTTGTAACATATGGCCTGGCTCATAATGCATGAATGGGAGAAAACCACACTCTTTTAGAAATAGATTTGATTGCTTCCAGGGACTACTCATATTTCTTGCTCATGTATTCCTTCATTTTTCCTAAAGTTTGAGCCATTTCTTCGGAATCTGTACAAAGCAGACTCCAGGGAAAGAAGAAACAGATAATGCACAATAACTGATCCATGTAGAAAACACAGAGATTTATAGCATTCTTAAGTGCATGACTGAGGCCAGGAAACACCTAGGCATGCACAAAGAAGTCACTACCTCCTCTCCCTCCTCTCCCTATATGAGATCTAGATGGCCCGAGTTCTGCTTCAGGAGTCATTGCGCAGAAATAACTACCCTTTCTCCCTCATAGTAACTTCTGAAGTCACTAACCCTGAAGGCTCCAAAAGAAAACCTAGGACTCAGTGAATGGAGCTGATGCATCCAGATGACATCACAGCTTCTCTTGATGGGTCATTCAATGTTTGTGAACCCAGACACACAAGCAGATCCTAAATCTAGTGTTTGATCGTGAAAATTGATCTAACACCAGCAATTTCTTGTCCCTTTCTGAACAGTTGTGTGTTTAGGGAAAAGCTGTTTTTATAATCATTGAAGTAAAATAATTCTCTTTGGAACCATGTGCCAGTCAGTCAAATAGACCATCTTCTTGGTGATTTCTGTCTTTGGCATGGCTTAATTTTACTCAAAGTATCAGCGTGGATATATAATAATTTTTGGAAGTATGTGTGGTGAACAACAGTTGATCAAGAATTCTGGAATCTCTGTGGCCTGATGAATAAGAGCACAGATATTTAAATCACAAAGCCCTGGATTGAAAATTCTGCAACAGTGCATAGCAGTAGCCCTGTGATCGAGGCACATGCCTTAGTAGCTTGTCTGAAAGATAGGTATACAGTGGGTGCTTCATGAAGTCATGGAAGAAGTAAATGTGTGGATGTGAGTAAAGTACTCAGCATTGTGAATGAGTACCAGAGGGCAGAGCTATCATTGTTGCTCTAGAGTTTAAGCATACTGCGGGAACTAGGAGGCTAGAGTTTATTTGAGACCCTAAGTTATCACGGTGGCTAGAAGAAAAAGAAGTAAGGGTGAGAGTCCTGAGGAAAGAAGCAGGAGAGAAGAAAACAGTTCCAAACCATTCTCTCACCCCGCCTGATTTGCTGTTTCAGCAAATACATCTGCTTACAATAGTGAGTTGAATGTGCTTTATGCCACAGAATGCTTTAAGCTTTTAGAATCCCCGATGGAAGGGAGATCGTGTGGTCTTTCTTGGCTTGAGCATGAGTTAGAATTTGTCGGATGGGCATTTTGCCTTCATCAAAACTTGAGTCTGGTTCGATACACAATGACATTTTCCAAAGACCATCTGCTTGATCTCTTTAGATTTGTGGAACTCCTTCAGCATTTATACAGCTCTGTGAGAAAGGGAGAGCACTGCTCCTTCCACTCGGTGCATGGATAACCTGAGGTACAGAGAGCAGAGCGCACTGAAAAGTCTTCTCCAAGTTGTCCAGCAAATAGTAGATGTGGGTCTCCTACGATTTCTCCTTCAGTTCCGACTCTGGATCCATGCCCTACTCATACAAGTGGCCTTTCAAGTTATTTTAATATTGGGTGAAAATGGCACCTCTTCTAATTTATATCATTCACATGGAAGTTTCTTCTGGTGGTCATCAGAGCTCAAATTCTTTCAAGGCCCCTTACTTACCAGGGTCCAAGCTGTCTGTGGAGTGGTCCCTGATCTAGGATAAAGCACTGATGTCCTTACTGTGGGATGACCCATCCATTGTCCATGCCAGGCCAGCTCTAAGTTTGAAATATTATCGTATTGGTGAGAGATTTTCACCTGATTGCCAGGTGGCTTAGCAGCTGTCAGTCCCCCAACTCCCTGGGGGTCCCCTTACTCTGGTTGTTGTACTATGAATACTCCTGCAATCTGGTGTGGACTATAGGGGACTCTAAGCTGACAACTGATCTGTATTGCTCTGATTTGACTGTCACCCACATAGCTCCCTAGTAGAGAAATCTCAATATGGTATCAGCCTTGGGAGCCTGTATTTATTAGATTGTGATAAATTCTATTTCCCTGCCTTTGGGTGCCTGTTCCTAAAAGAAAGGAATATCTCGAAATAGACTCATCCTGTCCTTGTAGTTGTTTTAAAGTTTGATCAGGCTTCTGTTTTTGTCCGGGTCCGATTTCCAGTCAACCTCTTCCAGGCAAGGCGTTTGTATGTTGTGTGGTCTTGACCTGAACACTTTCTAAGAGAGAAGCTCTGATTTGGTTATGTATTTTTTGTTGTTGTTGCTGTTGCCCAGGTTTGAGATAGGGTCTCTCTGTGTAGTGTAGGCTGGTCTGGAACTTGCTAGACTCCTGTATCTGCCTCCAGAGGCCTGGAATTGAAGACTTGTGCCCCCTACACCCTGCAGAAGCTCACATCTGGATAGCAGGCATCTGAAGAGACATGAATGAGGAGAGGGACTGCAGCTGTCCTCAGCCCCTCAGGGAATTCCACACAGGTCCAGCATCAATTCCTCCGCTGGCTAAGAAACTTGCCACTTCTTCCATTAGCTTTAGAAGGAGACAGTTTTACTTGAGTGTTCCCCTTTGGAAAAAATGATCAGCTATTCACTATTAGTCTGTATGTTAACCATTTCAACATACAGATGGGTATCATTGTCCACAGCTCTGACAGCAGTGTTCACAATTGTTCACCAAGGTTGCATTCTGCACTGCTGGAAGCTGATGTAATGCCCAGTGTATCATGTGACTTCCTGAGCCCTATCTATGGAATGGAACTGTATCAGGAAACCCTGTCCTCTTCTTACCCTCTATCCTCACTCCCAGAGATCTCCTGACCTGATCACATTCAGCCTCTAAAACTAGACTCTAATTGCCCTTCTTCCATTCAGCTTTCCCCAAAAACCTATGGTATTTTTAATATAGATTTTATTTCTACATTTATTATTTAGTTATTTATGGTTTTGTTAATAGTCAAATTTCTTTTCTTTTTTAAAAAAAATATTCTTCTCTTATATATTACATCTTGCCCACTGTTTCTCCTCCCTCTCCTCCTCCCAGTCTCTCTCCCTCAGATCCACACCCTCTCTGTCTCCCCTCAGAAAAAAGCAGGCCTCCCAGGGACATCAGCCAACAAACACAGCATAATATGAACAACCCAAACTTCTAATCAGATTTTTTATGTGATACATTGTCTTAGTTAGCTTTGGTTATAAACCTGATACAGTATACTGCCATCTGAGACAGAAGTCTCAACTGAGAGTAGACCAGATCGGACGGTGGCCATGTCTGTGAGGGACTATATTGGTGTTTAATTGATGTAAGCAGCAGGTTGAGTACACTGTGGGTTGCACTATTCTGTAGGCATGTGGTCTTGTGCTGTATAAGAAAGCTAGTGAAACATGAATCTCTGAGAATGTAACCAGCAAGCAGACTTCCTCCATGGCCTCTGCTTCAGTTCCTGCCTTGAGTTCCTTCCTGCCCTGACTTCCTTCAGGGATTGACTGTGACATGGAAGCATGAGCCAAATAAACTCTTTCCTCCCCAAGCTGCTTTGGGTTAGAGTGTTTCATCATATCAAAGAAGGAAACTAAACAGAGGTGTTGAGTAAATGTTTTTGAATGTTGAATACGTGTTTTTACCTTTCATTTCTTTAAAACCTTTTAGCAGACATGCAGTTGGGTTGAGGTAGAGACTGGTAAAGACACATTTGGGTAGTGCAGTGAGGATTTTGGGAAGCGTATCACCATGCCCCTCTGGGGCTGTGTTGCCAGCCCTGAGCATAAGTAGCTTTATGTGGTATCTTGGTGCCTGAAAAGAAGAAAGGAATTGAGAGGCCTTCTCTACTTCACTCTTTAAAATCACTTGTCCAGATTTTCTGGAGAAAAAAAATCCTAGTCCACATAGGTAATAGAATGTAATTAGCCAAGCAGAAAGCCACAGTTCTGAGAAGCAGTTGAGAGAGGCAGAGAGAGGGCGGGGGAAGAGGCAGACAGACAGACAGACAGACAGAGACAGAGACAGACAGAGAAAGAGAGCCCTTTACTTTATTTCCTATTGGAAAGTTTGTCAAAATATCCACTTGAATGGTTCATGAACTACTTTAGAGGTGCATTGTGGATATTTGAAATCTGGTGTTATCTCAGATCACCCTTTAAAAAATAAACTAAATTTCTTTCTTTCTTTCTTTCTTTCTTTCTTTCTTTCTTTCTTTCTTTCTTTCTTTCTTTCTTTCTTTCTTTCTTCCTTTCTTTCTTCCTTTCTTTCTTTTCTTCTTCCTTCCCTCCCTCCCTTTTCTTCTGTCTCTCTGTCTCTGTCTCTCTCTCTCTGAGAGAGCCTGAACGCAGTCCCCAACTACCACAAATTATGCAGTTGAGTTTCCCTCATTTGGAGAAATTGCAGGGGACAGCACATTCAGAGTGCAATGGATAAGCCTGGCCCTGGGGAAAAACCACCTTCCTGATCATGGTATCTCCCCTGGCAGGTAAGTATACTTTATTTATTCTTTGGTAGTTTCATATACATCTATAATGAATTTTGATCACATTCACCCCCTCTTTTCTTCTTCTGATTTCCATGGAACCTGTTCTTCTCATCAAGTCCCTCTCCTATAAGTCTTTGGGAATACACTGAGTTTAACTAGTATGACTTAAACAGATTGGCCCTGCTCTCATCCTTTGTCAGGGAAGCTTCCCTTTGCAGTGGGCAGTGGTTCATGCAGAGACTCAGTACTGGTCTAAGTGCTGAGAAGACATTGATAACTGTAAACAGGACCTGTGCATCAGCCCCTCCACAGCCCAGCAAACATGGAAGGGGAGGGAGAAGGAATGTAAACATTTACCACTCTACCCCCCGCCCCCGGCTGTGCCTCTGCTGTATCACATGGACACATGGCTAAAGAGCACAGAAGATGGAGCTACGTTTATGTCAACTCCAAGCTACGTCATTCAGATTTTATTTTTAATGAAAGCTCTAATACGTTATGTTGTGCAAATGCAATTCCCTAAAAGAATCCTTGGTATCAGGGAGAAGGGGTGAGTGTCACTGTTTCCCTTTTATGAAGATTTGAAAGTCTCTGGGTGTCAGCTTCTATCTGCTGATAGGAACAATAAGAACACATTTTCCCTTATAGGTTGCTTTGTTGTTGAGATATGGTACCATAGCACAGCCTGAGGCAGACGGCTTAGGAAGTCATCAGTTCTGTGGATGATGGCGGTAACTTCCTAGGCTTGTTATAACAAATTGTCACAGATTACATGGTTTACAACAACGTAAATAAGTTTTTTTTTTTTTTTTACAGTGCAAGTGAGGAGACCAGAAGTCTGAAAATGTCCGCAGGTGTGGCTCCTTCTATGGACCTGAAGTCAGAAACCACCCCATAGCTCTCCTCCAGATTCTGGGAGTCATTGATAACTCTCCACATTTGTTTTTGTTTTTGTTGTTTTGCTTTTCAAGACAGGGTTTCTCTGTGTAACAGCCCAAGATGTCCTAGAACTCACTCTGTGGACCAGGCTGGCCTGGAACTCACAGAGATCCACCTGCCTCTGCCTCCCCAGTGCTGGGATTAAAGGCATGCACCAACCACAATTGGCTTACTCTCTGTGTTCTTAAATGTGTAGATTTCTTCCTTTGTTTTAGTTTACTTCTGTTGCTGCGATGAAACACTCTGACCTAAAGCAACTTAGGGACTAAAGGGCTCGTTTGGCTTATACTTCTAGGTTACAGTCTGTCATTGGGGAAATCAGGGCCAAAATTCGAAGCAGGAGCTTGAAGCAGCAACTATGAGGGAACGCTGCTCCCCAGCTCACTCGCTGGCTTGCTCTTAGGCTCACAGTTATCTAGTTTCCTTATACATCCCAGGATCATCTGACTAGGAATAGTGCCGCCCTCAGTGGACTGGGTGCTCCTGCATTAACCATGAATCAAGACAGCCTCTCCTTGATATGCTCATGCCCAGTCTGATATGGGAAATTCCTCAGTTAAAGCTTCTCCTCTCAGATGATTCTAGGCTTTGTCAAGATGACAATTAAGGGTAACCAGGACACTTGTAGCCATAATGTCCTAATTGTATGAATGGTGGAAGACTCTAATTAGATGGTTCCTGGCAGATACTGTTTGATTTGGAGTAGATTTTGGAGCATTTCTGTGATGTATATTTTATTGACAAGATTCTCAATTTTTTTTATTTAGCTTTTGGTAGAGCTGTGATGCAAAATTGCTGTTTTCCTCTCTTACCCAGGCTATGGTTTAGACTTCCTTCTCATTGCAGAAGATATGTCTTTTTTTTTTCTTTTCTTTTTTTTTCTGTACTGCCAGAGAAATCTAGGGTGTGACTAATCAAAGCCTTGCTAGAGGATAGTGTTTGAGGCACTCACATTTGGGACTGGTTCAGAAAGATCTAAGTGTTTTGGAGTTTAGTATGTACAGCTTCAAGATGGATGCAATCTAGTTCTGCTGTGTGATCAAAAGCTTGTGAGGGTCAGTCATGCCAACCAGGGAGGAAGGAACATGGATGTTAATAACCAAGTGGCCTGGATGACCGTGAGGCTTCCATCTGTATTTCTGATTAAAAAGATGGTGCTGGGTAGTTATTGAGGGAGCTGAATCTGAGATCAATTGAGAGTCTCAGAGTGGCAGGACTTCTGAGCATTCTGAGAACATTTTTCCTTCCCACATGATCTCCAAAAATGCTCTCATTCCATAGGAAAGGCCATTGTTATTTCTGACAGAGGAATAAGAAGATTTAATGCTTTAATTTACACTGGTGGGGATGTTTGAATAAGATGCAAGGCAGAAACACAAGACAATACTTACCAGAATTCAAACCATCTCCTTCCTTTACAAAAACAATTAAAAAAAACCAAAAATATCCCAAAACAGCAAACAAACAACAACAATAACCAAGAAATTATTTTATGCATCAGGTCCTACTGGGACCATGAGAGTTATGTTGTATTATATTTCCATTTTAAATTTCTATTTTCAGGTATTTCTGACATACAGTGTGTATTTTCAAGCCAGAGGAAATTACATTAAACAAAAAGTGAGAAATAATACAATTGCAATCTATTAGTTAGAAATGACTGAAATAAAATAAAACAAATAATATTGTGTAGTGTTATAGCTTAAAAATAATTTTAAAAAGATATATACATACACACATATAAATATTACATTATCATCACTGTTATTAGAATTTGAGAGCTAAAAGCAGTAAAAGGGAGCACTTATTCAGAAGGGGAAGCAGAGCCAGCAGAAGTGGCTAGCATGAATGCTGTCACAGAGGTGACGTGCTGCACACACCCCACTGTTGACCTCTGGCTTCAGCATCTTGTCTGAACCCATGCCTGGTGCATAACGAATTCAATTACTCGATTTTCTCTTCAGTTACTGCAGATTCTTTCTCTTTTCACAACTGCTTCTTATTTTTCACTTCAGCTGTTTATCTCTGAAAATATTTTCCTAAGCTGAAATGTCCTGGAATAAACTCAATGATCTGGGGGAATTTCAACTTAAAAATGTATTATGTGTATAGGTCTCAGTAAGTGTAGACCACGTGAGTGGAGTGTCCTTGGAGGCCAGAAGAAAGCGTCAGTTTCCCTGGGACTGGAGTTACAGGTGGCTATGGCTAGGTACCAAGTTCAGCTCCTCTGCAAAAGCAGCAATCACCCTTAACCACTAAGCCATCTGTCCAGTCCCCTTTCACACATTTCAAAGGAAGTGCAGAATATTTTTTTTTCAGTATATTTTTCACAGAACTAGGTCTAGTTTAATTTCCTTTAAATCTGCACAGAAAATATGAAGTAGAACCACAGAATCCAAATTCAGGATTTCGTATAGGACAGACTAGAATCTCAGTATCTCAGAGGGTTCAGACACAAGGGCTTGGGAGACAAGAGCAAACTCAGCGAGCAGTAGTTTGCCTCTTTGTGACACCTTTGCTCTGAGCTGAATTTACACACCCCTCAAATACAGGGGAAACGAGATCATGAAATTTTAACCCTGAGCATGCTGCATCTAATTACAAGGTGTCTTGTCTTAACTCATGACTGCCGAATACTCAATTAAATGACCCGATTCTTCTATTCTAGTTATATAATCTGGTTTTTGTGCAAAGTGGAGCACTCCCAGGAATGAAGGGAAAGAGTAGCCCTTAATTCCCAAGTGATGACTTTACTAGAATAGGTATGTGCATGTGCACAAGTGTGTGAAATGTGTCCTTTGGAAGAGCAGAAAGGCAACACTTTTGTGATTAGACTCCTGTAGTGGTTTGAGTGAGAATGGCCCCCAGGGGCTCCTATGTTTGAAAATGTGGTCCCTAATTGGTAGAACTCTTAGAAAGATTAGGAGTTGTGGTCTTGTTGGAGGAGGTGTGTCACTGGGGGCAGGCTTTGGGTGATGTGAGCTCACAGCAGTTCCTACTGCCATGTCTTTACTCCACCATCATGGACTCTAACCTCCTGGAACCATAAGCCCAGTTAGATGCTTTCTTTTATAAATCATCTTGGTCATGGTGTTTTATCTCAGCAAAAAAAAAAAAAAAAAAAAAAAAAAAA